TTCTTATTAAATCAATGTACTTTTAAATATTTTTTATTATGGTGTCGTACTTTTAAGAATTTATCCGTTATAGCATTGGTAACATTTTAAATTAAATTATATTGTAACACCCCCATACTCCACATTTGCATAAAACACATATTTTATTACATAGAAACATGAATTATATCAAAAGGTCCTACTAGTACAAGGATTACCATATGTACAAAATTTACATATAAAATTTCCAAAACAAATCATGTACTACTACATGTAATATAACATGTATCTTCAAAAGCAGATAACATGTTAGGAAAATAATCATATTTTCCCTTTCCCTTTTATATCCCCGGACCCAGCTACTCCTGCATTGCATAATTTAAAAACAGAAAATGAGGGTTAGACCAAACGGGTCTAGTGAGAAAATCCCTTCTTTGCAAGTGCAGGGTGATAAACACCAAAATGTGATAATGAAATTTTTGCTTAGAAATATACTGCAATACAAATAAATGATGCAGTTCACAACATCCCGCAATAAGATGTATATCCAAGAACCTCAATAAAATGTCTCTGAATAGAGATCCAACATTCCCAGTATCAAAACTTTTGAATTAAAAGACCATTCCTTTAACAGGAAAGATTTAAGGCAAAACTTGCCTGATATGACAAATCATTTTCCCCTTCTCAATAACATCTAAATTATTACTTCTAAATAGAAATAATATCTTTAATTCATCAAGTCACAAAGAAATGATGTATCAAAGTTATTAAATTCAATTTAGTAATAATAATAAGAATTATAATAATATCCACATATGACAATGCCACCCTTATTCCAAATACACCTCTCCGTGATATGCAACCCTTATTCCTCCATCAAAACATGGCTACTTATCAGAACAGACATAAGTTACCACGTCTGAAAGTACCCATTCCCAGTTCTAAACCAGAACAGACAAAAGTCACTACGTCTGGGGAACTACTATTTAAAACAGTGTTTCATACCAAAACAGACTTATGTCACCACGCTTGGTAGAAACAATTTATAAAATCCACTTCCATACCAAAACAGACTTATGTCACCACGCTTGGTAG